AGCCAGCTTGCGCATATTGTGTATGTGTTGAAGGTAAGGTGGCGGTTGGGTTTTAGCAATTATAACATAATAATAATGTAGTCGACATTCCATACGGGTTTTAATGGCTAGTCGTCAACGCTATACCTCGAAAAAATTATTGCTGCGATATTATTTTTTCGGAAAAAAAAATACAAACTGGGAGAGAAACCTTAGTAAAAATGTCTAGTGTGGTGGTCGGACGATTCGCTTTTGGGGTCTAGTATGTAATACAATAACACAACTGAATAGCTTAATAATTGTAAAAAAAAGACTTGCGTTACATAGTTTACTTTCAGGAAAAAAAACCAAAACTTTTAATTGACCAGTCTTTGCGTGTTTTTTTTTTCACGGAGATCGGGTATTGTTGTTGAAGTCACTGATTTAGTAATAACTAAATATATATTTATATATAAATTTTTTTTTCCAAAATATATTAGTAAATGGCCTAATACAATATTGTGTTGTTTCTCTCACAATAGTATAAAAATATAGATCTTTCAATCATATTGTTATTGTTTACTTGTTGTGGTGTAGGTGACGTTCAACGGTATTTGTTTTCAAGAGACGGATCTTTCCTAGTTTGGTGTTAAATGTTTTAATATTGTCCTATTTGTTGTTGTGATACATTTGAGGTATTAGGTATATTATTATAATAATTTACTTTTTCGCACGGCGCATTGAACGCACGCGGTCTTTGGACTTTGAAAGAGGTTGTCCCTATCTTGTTATTTATTAGTACATGAGCGCATTATTAATACTTTTATGTGTTATTTCGTGTGATGTACAGTGTGTTTTTTCTCGTTATCTTCTCTACGGTTGCGTTTGTTAAACGGCGGCAGCCAACATAATATTATATTTTATTCCTGTTGTCTTGTTATCCGCCGGTGCCCGGAGATAACGACTTGTTCTGGCCAAGAAATTACTAATTGTTGTTTTTTTTTTTTTAATCGATTACTACGATAACAATATACATTTGTATAAGATTAATATTATGTTCCATGTATTGTAACGCTATTCTCGTGGCAATTGCATTTCTCTCATTTTAATAATATCGTCTTGTACTCCTTTGGTCGTCCGCCCTAGATGTTTAATATTGTACCAGCACATCAATATAAATAGATAATCATTTTCTAAATGTTTATTTATTCGTCGAGGTTTCGATGGAAAATATTACTAGTGTAATATTTATAATGTTTTGAGAAAAAAAAATCACGTGTAGTAGTAAAGTTTATTTACTTAGTAAAAACATATTTGTACGACGTTTTACGGTATTTTTAATTTCTGGAATTTTAATTGAGCTATACATGGTGTCCCGCTAGAATCTAAACTTTGTACTTCTAAGTTCTAATATCCATTCGAATAGGTCAAATCTTCTAAGGGACACCTGTACATCCTTTGATGAGACCCTAAAAATATATTGTTCTTACAATGGTGTGTTTTTTTTTGTGTCTGGACTTACACGATAACTACTAAATCGCTGCACCGATTTCTCGTATAGTATGTCTATAGATCAAAAATCGTACCCAACAGGTATTGTATTGAGTCAAAAATAAAAAAATAATCGCCACCGAACCTTGAAATCGAAAAACGTTAAAAATTTACATATTTTTAAACTTAAAAATTACGGCGTGCCATTATCTTTTTTCAAAATAGCCGAAATGTATTCAAGTAAAATTAGTTGTATCATTATTTAATTGATGCCCAAGTAAGGTGGTGTTACGCTCCGGTGTATGGTATATTTTACCGACCGTTTGTTGCACCAATTGTTATACTTAAAGCATAATTATTATAGTTTAACCTAGAGAATACAACCCTTATATTTATTGTCGTTTGCAAATAACCATTAAATGTTTTTTTTTTTTAATACCATCGCTGAGCATTAAAATTAGTTGTTATAATAACATTATAATATTATGTGAAACGTTGTCACGAACCAACTAAAAGTAGTATAGTAGTAGTAGTTGTAGTAGTAGTATTTTTTACTTGTGTACATACGGATGGCGATAACGTCGGCGACAAAATAATACGAGGACCTTATTCATAGTAATAGAATATAGATAGTAAAAATATAATATAGTACCTGCGTCTACCGGCGACGACAACACCGTCCGACCGATAAGGTTCAGACGTTTTCCCAAACACCATTGGAGGAACTATTCGGATTTTCAATATTGATCATCCTCTACTGCACGTTATTTATCTCCACAGTTTGTTGTCAATAGTATTCTTAGAAATACGTCCCTGACCCTGATGTATCTCTGAACTCTGGCATCGCATGTTTTTTTTTAGTTTGATATTCAAATCAGAGTGGTGTTAGATTTTTCGTGTGTGCACAATGCGATTTAAAAATATAACTAACAATAATAATAATACTATTTTTGGCGGAAACAAGGTCGATTTAGCAGACGAGCAAACGCGATTTTCTGTTCTACACCGTGTATTATAATAATATGCTGTCATATTATAAATCTATTCAAGATGATCAGAGCAGAGGCGGCCGTGCTGCGAGATAATCGGTTTCCTAAACTTGCGTTGCGCTTATTTTAGACTTGAGACGTACTTCCGATATGACAAACGTTGTGAATAATTATCGGGGGAAAAAATAAAGAGCGAGAAGTGTTGATAAATTGTACGAAGTAATTTTGTTTGTTAAATTTGTCCGACCTTCTGTTCTGATTTTTTTCTTCTTCAAAACGCACTTGTAACAATACCGTCGTCATAGCCGCGTCTGGGACGACACTGTAATATTATGCTTTATATTATCAGATGTAAAATTAATGCATGTATTAACATTGTTGTAGTGCATGCACTAAACGCTGTGTAGTACGAAAAACACACACAGACGTTGATTCGTGGGACACCTACGCGGTTGTTCTTTTTTTTCTGTTTACACACAACCGCTGTGGAATCGAATGTAGAATTTTTACATTCTATACGGGTATTATAATACCTACCGGTGATAAAATATCTTTTAAAATTATTCCATTGAAAATGTGTTGAATAACACTCAATATCTCGTAGGGTTTAATTGGTAGTCTAATAATTGTAATATTTCATAGAGTTTTTATACAACTTGACTTTTTTCACAAATTTATATTTTTAACCCTCTGTGTTTTATATCATGTTGTTTAACTATTATAAAAATAATATGTTATAATAAATAATTTCTATATAAACCATAGCGAAATTCTTTAGTTAAATGTTTAATACTAGCTTAAAATCGTTAGTACCTATTCTAGTACAACGCGTAGCATAAAATGTTCGTACAAACCAAAAAATACTAAGTAGTATCGCCCAAAGTTTCTCACTAATCTTCGGCAAAACATTAAAAAAAAAAAATTAGTTTGCCGTTTAGGTTCATCTGTATTGTTATTGTTATTACTATTATTATTATCATCAAAGCTTTGTTAAGTAAGGATAGGTAAATAGAGCAAGTTTCTTAAAATTGCTTAAAATAAAGGAACACTACTTAAATAATAACGATGACTGAAGGAGTAGGACTGTTAGTTAGGACTGAAGGATATGTGCACGGTACTGATTATTACTTTTTATAATTAGATTCCGTTGTCATCGCGGCGAGCAATATATATTGAAGACATTATAATAATTTTTCAATGTGTTTGTAGCACTAAATTATGTATATTGAAGTGGATTAACGATTAGAATATTGTCGACGATACCATAGTTCGACCGGCGCGCGCTGCCTCTTACTTTTTAATCATTTAAATACATTTTTTTTTTCTGTTCGTTTACTCGAAGGAAACTATCTGGAAAAGGTCAGCGATGACAATGTGCAATTTAATAGTTCATAATAATAATATAACAATAATAATAATTATTATTTACTATTAACGTCGTGAGTGGATTAGTCATAAAAAAATGCGATACGGAACGCATGTATGTCTACGATAAAATAACATAATAGAAATATTACAAAATATATTTATATACTTATAACTTTTTAGATACGTGATGTATATCTATAGAAGTTGTTTACGGCAAACATAGATTTTTCCTAAATAAATACCTACCGCGTTTAAGTAACAAAACTGTATATTGAAGCAGAGCATCGCAAGTCATAACTGAAGTTATTTCTTGGAGGTGGTTGCAATATAATCACAACGCGCCTATGTTCTCTTTTATTAATTTATACTGCACTTTTGTACTCACTTTGAGTATTATCTTTGTAATTTTATTTTCTTTTTAAATTAAAACAACTTTTTCTTTGGAAATATATTAACACCGGTAGTGTAAAATATAATAATTATTGTTATTTGATGTTTTCAAAACGATTTACTACAGTGTATTATCCATGTTAACATCTTTTAACATGGCGCTGCTCATATGCAAGTGAAGGTTTTGTCAACAACAGGCCGTGTCCGTTAATCGTTAAGCGCGTTATTATTGCAAATAAAAAAATTAACGCGTTTGAAGTAACTGCTAGCGAAAAAAAAAAAAATAATAAAAACCAATAGCATTAAATATTTTATAATAACGATAATTTTATTATGTAATGTTTTTTTTTTATATATATATATATACTTGTATAATTTTTATGTTTTTAACGATAACGTGCTACCGATTGTAATCGGAACGAGCCGAGAACAAGGCAAATTCACAACCGATTGAAACGTTAAAGGACTGCGATAAAACCAACTCTGCCACTTCGTCGTCATACAATTCGATATAAATAAATTGAATTTTTATTATTATTTCATCGGCCTAAACGGTTCGAAAACGATAATAAATTACATGCGTATCATATCGATGCAGCTGCGCTCGTCGGCTTTAACGATCCACTAGGTAGTAGGTTACTACCCCACTGGTCTCCGTGTATTATGCTAATATTATACACTGATACCTAATCGTCTACCGTGTACTATTACAACGATGTCGACGGTGTATTATGCATAGGTAGAGCCTGTAAGCGACATATTTTTTTTTTTTTTCATTTTTCCTTCACTCGCCGCGTGTAATAGATCTCGACATGACCCACGAAGTCGACTCTCAGTTTTACGTGGCCGAAGTCAAAGACATGGTAAACATCGTACAGAGGCTCATCAACGACGGTAAGTCGCAACGGAAAACGCCGGTCAAAACGGTTGTTGTGAACACCAATATATATATATTTGATTAGTTCACAGTAACTACTAGTGGATGCTTTATTGATAGTTAGTTGTAGTTGGCTTCTTTGACGACCATCCATCGAGTCATTATTTTTGTGAAGTTATCCGTATCATTAACATTGACTTGATATTTGATGTTCATACAAGTATTTAAATTGTTTTCGAACGGTTACAAAGACAAACTTAAATAATTACTCAACCTATTTTCAAAAAACATGTACGCCTGACTGAACAAGTTAAGAAGTCACTTAAGGTTCATAACTTTGGAAAGTAATATCGTGTTTCAGTGTTAATTTGTGTGCAATGTTTTGTTCTTGTATGCATTTATTTCGTTCTTTCCGTCGTCCCCTCAAAGAAATTGTTTTTTTGAGACTTTTATTTATATTTATTTTTATTATTCCTTCACGTCCCAATGGTGTTCCGAGTATTGCACGACACCGTAGGTCTTCCGGAAGACTCGTGCGAGTGTCAAGACGAGAGAGAGCCGTTCAGCCTTTGTGCGTAGGGTTTTGTTATTTTACTATGTCAGCAATTTTCTCTCTCTCTCTCTCTCTCCCCTTGGTTTAGCTGACCGGGTCCTGGAATTATTATTTAAACCGCATTATGATATATATTATTGTTTTCTGACGGAGTCATCGAAATTTTCGAATTGTCTCTCCGGTCGCACCGTAAGCGCGCGCCTGTTGCTGCGTGTAATTCAATATGTGTCGTTGAGTAATTTTTTCCCCTCTAAATGACGCGCATAGACATTTTTTTTTTTCTTATTTAAATTTTTTATTCCGATTCCGTCAATTATTATTACTATTTTTTTATTTTTATTTATTTTGCCGTTACTCGATGCGAGCGCAGGAAGTGCGACGTTCAGCGAATTTCGGTAAACAATATTCGCTCATCGCCGCATTTTTATTGTTGTCTTTCGCAATAGTTTTTGCTGGTGTGTCGCTTTGGCTCCGCCATCACCAACGCCACAGGTCGGTGACACCAGAGAGTTGTATATTTGATTATTATTTATTGTTATTTTCTTCTGGTGCATTGTGGGAAACCGGTCGTTATTGGTCGGTCGTGTGTGCTAAGATAGTGAAAAAAGAAAGAAGATCTAATAACAATAAAGTTGGGCAGTTTTCTTTTTTTTTGTCCACCGTCATTGCCATTTGTTGTTGAGAATAACTCCATACTTCACGTGTTTCAGGACATACGTTCAACTCGCCCGAGACCGTCCAACTAAAATTAGAACCTGGCATTTGGTAAGTAAAAAACACAATTGTTACAATTTATTACATTTATATTTACCGCCTTTAAGATACGTGTTACACATTTGTTGTGTGCCGGTATCGGAAAAACGCCATTTTCCGACACTGGTACGCGTTTCGAGAAATCATGTTTTAAACGTAATTGTTATAGTATGCTAAAATGTGTTCATTAGGCCTTGTTTACTCAATGTGTGAATATATAAATTTACAACATAATTATTGGTTTAAGTAAGAAAGTAAAAAAAATAATGTTTACTCAAGTAACATACAATATCCATTTTATATGCTAGATCGTTTAATGTTTTGCCATAAAAATATGTGTTTTTTAAAGCTTTTTTAATTAAAAAATTACGGTTTTTTTTTTATGTTTGAGCACTTTAAATGTAATAGCACTTGATGACATTATTATTAGTCCTCACGCGGTGTACTTCGAAAGGCGTGCATGGATTTAGTTCAGACCGTTTAACTTAGAAAACAATAATTATAATGTATACAAATAATACATTCTATTTATGTGTTTCAGCGTCTTTCTCGTTCCGTAACACAGGCTGTTGCATAGAAATATCATTGTTTTTTTTTTAATTAAGTTGCGATATTAAGATTTTTTAATGATTACCATTTAAAAAACAATTCTCCATTCGATCCTCGGTTGATGATTGCAGGTGTACCTACTGTTTTCCCCTTTGACTATATTGACACGTTATCGCCGCGTTGAGGTCACAGCAAACATGAACTCTATTTAATTTCAATTCTAAATATGTGCATGCATGAATTATGCTAATAATAAAGAATAATATTGACTTGAAATTTCAATTAATTAAAAGTAGAGGCCAACTAATATTTGTATTACTAATTTCGAAAAATGTTCTGAATAAAAAAGATTTTGTTTGTCTCCACGCCAATGTAAGAACATCAATTATAATAATAATATTAAATATACACGTGTTGTGGGTCTTGGAAGCTATGGCGGTGGTCCTTAAAAAACTAACAAGCCGTTGAGAGGTTAGGTATCTGACGCCTATAAGTAAATCCCAAATGCCACACTAGACACATGAATTACCATCCAATGACCTTTCGACAGACGCATATTATCCTTTTCTGTTTTTGACAAACTTCTTCCCGTTAGGGGCTTGTAATAATACAATTAATAACAATTATTTTACATAGTTTGCTTACATACACAATCGTGTATAAATTGTTATTATTATAATATTTTGTGATGAGCTACAGAAACACTTTTTTTTTTCACCCTTACTATAATAATGTCGTTGTTTGAAATAATATCTTTCCGGTACGTTCAGTCTACTACTCTATATGATATTCCACAAACAATAGGCCGACGGTTCTCATTACTGATATACATATGGACATTATGTATTTATATATGTATATACACTTATAAATGTGTATATTATAATATGGTGCCTGCTGAGCAAACAAGCGCGTGCTGCTGTTCGCGTGTACTACTTGGGCGGCACAAACAAACGTGTTCCTGAATATTATTGTGACAAGTTGCTGTAATAATAATAATAATAATTATTATTATTATTATACTTATGTACATATAGTTATTATGTGTAACATATTATACACAAGCCACACACACATTAACACAACCGCCCACAAATAGGTCGTCGAAAATTATTTTTCTGTCCCAAAAAAAAACCGGCGTTTGAACCAGTGCAGTGCGCCAAACTAATGGATGTAATTTATATTGTTTTGTTGTGTGGGTTAATGTAAAAAAATTCTGGTCTCTAAACGAATTTCAACAAAAACGTGTAAATACATAAAATTACAAAACTCAACATTTTCATAATCGTGTAATTATTGTATTTGGTGTTCTGAATTTATCTATGATCCTATCTGAAAACTTTTTCACTTATAGCTAAGAATGGAATTGTCAAATTCAGGGTAATTTACATAAGACTTATTTTAAATATGTTATTTTATTTAAAAAAATACTGTAAGAAAAACCGTCCAAAACCAAAAACAAAACATGGGTAATTTATTTATTTATTATCAAATTTTTTATTATTTTAAAACATATTTATCATACTCTTATGTATTATTATTATTTTTTCAATTACTAGTTGACTGATTATGGTTGCATTTTATTTACACTAGTTTTTTATTAGGCTACACTTATTTTTAGTAGTTTTCCTCCAAAAAAAAAACATTTTGATTGGTTTTATAACAAGAGAACTAATTGCTAATTTATATTTGTATACCTTAAGATGCTATATTATGATGCCCCGGGGTTATCGTGGTTTGTGTGGTGTTATCATAAAATGGTTTTCATCTGACAGAATGCCGAATAAAATATTAATAATAGTAATGATGTATAAAAATTAGATAAAAATACTTCAAACGATTTCATCAATGCCCAGCCGGTCGACGATGGGAAAATGTAAACGGCAGCAACCGATAATGTTTTTTCTTTTGCTAATATTGTCCGTCGAAATATCAATATTATACCGTCAGACTGTAGTTGCCTGTAGATTACCTATAGGGGTTTTTTTTTTTGTTCGCCTTATTGGTATTTTAAAATATGTAATATTTTTTATTTATATTATTATGGATCTTATCTCGAAAGACGGCGTCTTCGTCTACGGCTGTTACATATTTCATGACTGATCGAGCATTTATCCGTCGCATATGTCACGGTTCATACATATTTACCGTGTTCGGAACATAATACACGTTATATTTATAATAATATAATGTTATGTATGTGTATATATTTTGTTCTCGTTTTTTTTTTTTTTGTATTCTGTCACTGACTGAAGAAAATTTAAATATGACGACCCTGGACTCGAATCTCGATCGTCATGGGACTAGAGGAGAAGGATTCTGGAATCGGTTTTGTGATGATATGTGTTATTATTTGTACTTGCCAATGCGAGAACAAGTAACTACACACATATATTATTAACCAAGCGCCACCTTGCATAAGGGTGTTTTCAGTTATCACACGTCTGGGTATGTATCAGGTTAAAAAGAAAAGAATACAACTTTATGTGAAGCTAAATTTGTCCTAATCATTCTTCGACGTTGCAAAGAGGAATCTGTAATCCATATGAATATATATTTTATTATATGTTTGTATAATCTTTCATTTTTGTACAAACACATATTATATTATAATACGTCTGGAGAAATTTTTTAAAGACTGAAATCCAAACGATTTTTTTTTTTGCTAAAAACGCCCAGAAAAGATTTTGTCGGCGGCGACACTTTGATCACCATAATATTATGTATGTGTTGGCTCGCCGGTCGAAAACGAAAGTCACACCGATTTATTCTCAAAGTCTGTATGGTTACTCAATCCCTACTATTGTGGTATTACGTTACTCGTTTACCGTATGGACAACAATGCTTGTTACGGTAGGTCGTGTCCCGATAATAGTTCATTGTTACTACAGCAGCAGCGACACCGAATAAAATTTACTAAATTGTGATTTGTATGGCGTGTTTTGGCGAGGATCATTAAAAAAAGCAAGGCGTCAGTTTCAAAACCAGCTAAAAGAAATTTTTCGAAAATTTCACAAACGACAAATAATTTTTTCGGTTGGGCGATTTTAAAACCAACCAAAATCAACGATAATTTTACGTAGCTACCATGTTATTACCTAAGTGGCCACATTGTATTCAATGTGACCACTTATAGTTGTATTTTAACAATCTACAAATAGGAGGGAGGCTTGGATATATATTTTGTCTTGTGCAAGTATATGACTAAATCGTTTTTGACAATTTTTTTTAGATTTTTTTGAGACTTGGACTTGTCTTGACTCCCGGTACAAAGGGTTGTCCACTTTACAATGATTTTCTCACTTCATATTAAAGTGTAAACAGAATCTGTTTACTATCATAAATAATATAAAGCCTGATTATATTATATCGCCACAGGTCGTTGGAATTATCACTTCTTAGCCCCCCTCCCGCCATAAATTTAATTTTAGGTATAATGTTTACACCTAGTGTGGGGTGGTCATGTCTGGTAGAGTCAAGTGGGATATTTGTAAATAAATTAGGCAAGTGTAAATACTATTTTTTTATTTTAAAAACAACCGGAATGATTTTTTTTATTTTTGTAGCCCATAAGTGCTTATTTATTAAACTTCAATTTTTTAAACCTCTTTGTTGAAAGTTTAAGTTAAGAATGATTTCGTTTTTTTTTAAGTGATATTAGTATATTACATTTCAATACCCGCCATGTAAAAAAACTAAATACATACATATACATCTTGGGGTTGTAGAACTATTAAATGATACGCCATCTCGACTCTGGAACTTCATGGACGCTTAAAATTTGAGAAATAATAATTAACCAATTTTGTTATTTAATTTTATGTAATTGTTCAGATAAATCGTAATGTACAGAATCTCAATAAATAAAAAAAAATAATAATAATTAACCAATCGTTGTTTTTTTTAGTGTAAACATTCAGGGGTTCACAAAATTATCATCAAATTAATATTATATTGATGACCTAGTCTGGGATTTTTACGGCCGAGGTAAAACTCGAAAAATTTAAACATACCTACGCTTGCTTTTTTTTTTTTTTTTTGCGAGCGCCTTTTGTTATTGATCCTTATTTTATTTATCAGTACTCCTTTGTGTATTTTTTTAACTTGACTGTTTAACGGTTAATGCTCCTTCGCCCATCCGTAGAACAGCAGTCGCCGCCTTATTGTACACCATATACATACGTACGTCCCATAGACTATAGAGGCCGACTGTGTACATACACACACACACACACACCGTTAATGCGCGTTATTGTTATCAGCTGTAAGTCGGTTGGTTTTTTTTTTGAAACCTCCGTTTATATAATGTGTGTGCATTTAGCTGTATAGGAGGTGTGTGTGTATGTGTGCTAAGTTACACATTATAGGTAGCACTAATTTCGACTGCGGCGACGGCGTGGTTGGCCAACAGCACACAGGTTACCATTATATATATATATATATATTGTTATTATCACACATTTTTTTTTACAGTATGTTCTTTAGTTTTTTTTTATTATTCGATATTTTTCCCATGCCGAAAATTAATTCTATCCGAACGTGCGCGCGTGTGGCTGTTACACACACACACACACAGTTAACTTGTATTATAATAACGTTGACTTGAGCTCATAATAAATAATACACACGCTCACGGATAGATAATGATGGTTAAAAAAAAAAAAAAAAACAGCCGTGTATCGTTTCCCTGATTTTTTTCCCTACTATACCATCCTCGGCTCGACACTCGAGTCATCCTTAAAAATTCCCAATCACATAAGCCGCCCTCGTTTGATCTGTCGTGGGCATTTAGATTTTAGACATCGGTTTTTATTACTTAGATTGAATTAAATCTTACGAGACTTCTTTTAATTAACCCTTCGAAACCGTTGTAAAAAATTGGAGTTTACTGCCTTTTTTGCTTAGCTCGTGTTGAAGCGGACGGTTTTTTGATGTTATATTCCCAACATGGCCCAACGGTTTACCACTTTGACCGTACATCATATAATATAATAAAAACATCATAATCTAATCGATTAATCGTCCTAAAAACAATGTTAGATAGAATTACGCAAGTATTTTACAAATAGTAATAACTTCTACAGTCTAAAGCAAAACAGTATTGACTGTATTGAGTAACAACCGATGATTGTGTTGAAAATCAATGTACTTTCCAGACAGAAAATGTATAATATTTATATTTTATAAATGTTTTTACAGTATGTAATCATATTGTAAGAATAACATTACGACGTTCTATAAAAGTATTTGAAAATAGTTAAAATCATTAATATACTTGAATTGAAATTGTAATTTTTCACATAGAGATTATTAATTATAAAATTGAGCCCCACCACCCCTTGTAAATATTACAAAGAATTCAAATGGTTTTTTTTCAAAACTTAATTCTGAGTACTTTTAGGAACGTATACTGTTAGAAGTAGAAACAACATGTTTTTGTACATTTATTATGCCTATATTTTTAAACCGTTAAAAACAATACTTCATATTTCCTATCAAAATACTATTTTTTTCTTGGGTAGGACCACCGCCATTTTTGTAATGTTGTTTCTGTTACGTATTCGTTTAACTTTTTTTTTTTTTAAATAAGCCTTTGGCCGACTTCAGTCTTTAGGGAATTCGTGGTGGGTATGGAGTTTCTTTTAAACAACGGTTCTTGTCTTACGTGCAAAACAACATTATTCGTCGATGTGATCGTGGGAAATCGTTAAATACCGAGCCCACGCATTTGACATTATCTCCAGCGACTTGGTCAAAGTAAAGATATTATGCTTATCCGTTTATATCTGTGTTTTATTAGAAATAAATAAAAACGTACGGAAAACTTACAGGAACATATTGTGAGTTTCTAATTGTGTTCTAAACGTTCAAACTAAATTTCGGCGGTATAATAAACACCCTTGGACAATGATATTGGCAAAAAGCCAATATCATAAGTATAATAATTGTGTTGAATGCTCGGTGTAGATTATTGTCGAGTTTGTTGATTGTCATCATTGGTTAATGGGTTTTAATTTGATGTTGTGTCAACAGCTGGAAGAATGAAGAGGTAGACAACAACTGTGTGGTCAGAGCCAGAGGTTTGCCGTGGCAATCCTCCGATCAGGACATTGCCAAGTTCTTCCGTGGACTCAACATCGCCAAGTAAGTGTGGTTTTTTTGCCACAATTTCGCGTCGGCTCAGATTCTTAACGGAGTATTTTCATGTGTAAAGGGGTGGAGTCGCACTGTGTCTGAGCGCGCATGGTCGGCGAAACGGTGAAGCAGTGGTCCGTTTTGTAAATCAAGAACAAAGAGATATGGCCATGAAGAGGCACAAGCACCACATCGGCAGTCGGTACATCGAGGTGTACAAGGCCAACGGCGAAGACTTTATAAATGTCGCTGGAGGTAAGATAATAGGGTATCGGCAACATTGATGACTCGGCCAAAAGTGTAGCTAACTTGTTATTCAGTAATATTATCGCACGTTTAGCAATAACCTATAACCCATTAACTCCGAGTATGAAGAGACTCAAAATAGAGTCGTGTAACAAGACAAATTGGCCGGGTCAGCCGTGTCAGAGTTGACCCATCACACACGCTGAGTATACCATGTTTGTGAATGTGCTTTTCTACAGGTAACAGCAGCGAGGCTCAAGCTTTCCTCACCAAAGGCGCCCAAGTGATAGTGCGTATGAGGGGATTGCCTTACGACTGTACGGCCAAAGACGTCGTGAGTATACATTCAAAACTGTGCCTTAACCGTTTTAACCGATGGTGCTTCTTTGTTTATGCCAAACCAGTGGATTTGCATTGTTTTTTCATTTATTCGCTACAATATTCTCGCATCATTTTGCGGCCAATAACTAAAAAAAAAAAAAAACTAAACGGGCTTTGTTTCGTTTCTCTTGTGATCAGATTGCCTTCTTCGAGAGCGGCGAACAGACCTGTTCGGTAATGGACGGCGAAGACGGCGTTCTGTTCGTCAAAAAGCCCGACGGTCGTGCAACAGGCGACGCTTTCGTTTTGTTCGCCGACGAAGACGATGCTCCAAAAGCTCTTAGCAAGCACAGGGACCTCATCGGCACTAGGTATATAGAGCTATTCCGTAGCACTACGGCCGAAGTACAACAGGTGAGTCTAATATGTAAGATGCACAAGATTATATTTTATTATTGTCCGGTAATGGTTAACGCGATTAACAATGGGGAGGAGGAGGAGGAGGGAGGATAGGTACGCGCTTAAATTGTTTGTTTTCGTAGGGAAACCGTTAAACGCAGCAACGGACTAGTTTTAAAAGCCGAGCTTTTCTGTTTCGATGACGCTCTTTGCGTCACAGCTTTAGTTGTTGGCCGATTGCGTATTTTGTCGTACAATTTTTGACACTTGCACTTCACAGGTGTTAAATCGTGCGATGGACACGACCGTGCGATCGACGGCCAGTGACAACGGAAACATAAACACACCGGTGACGACAACGGCCGGCGTGAACAACTCTCCTACCGCCTTGCTCGGCCACGTACCTCTATTGCCCTTGCCACAGCACGTCATCACCAGCGGGACAAGGAAGGACTGTATACGACTGCGCGGGCTACCATACGAAGCCAACGTAGAACACATTCTAGAATTCCTCGGCGAACACTCCAAAAACATCGTGTTCCAAGGCGTGCACATGGTGTACAACTCTGTGGTTAGTGCCGCCGGTTTATTGTTTACTAGTATTTTGATAATAATAATTACAGTTCTTCACATTAAGTTTCTTCATCTCTCGGCCGCCCAAAATGTTTAAAACCAAAACTACTATATTTTATTCAATCACGTTTTCAGGGCCACGCGTCCGGCGAAGCATTTATTCAAATGAATAATGAAGGCAGTGCGGCCCAAGCTGCCATGGCGAAACACCACAACTATATGTCGTTTGGGAAAAAACAACGATATATCGAGGTGTTCCAGTGCTCGGGCGAAGACATGCACTTGGTGTTAACTGGCGGCAGTGCAGCTACCGGAGCTTTGTCCCCAGTGGCCGCTAAAGCTCTGTTGTCGCCACCCGGTATGTTACCTGCACAACCTCTAATAAACGCCGGCCAGGTGTCCAATCCGGGTACTCCGGTACCCACCCTAATGCCCGCTTGGGATCCCATGTCCGTTTACGCGCAAAACATAGCCCAATCCTTGGCCTTGCAACGCGCGGCTGTGGCGGCTGCCCAACAGCAACAACAGCAGCAACAGCAACAACAACAGCAACAACAACAACAACAACAACAACAGCAGCAAGAGTCATGGTTGTATCAGTTGGCCCAACACAACCAACTGATCAACTTGGCCTTGTTGACTAAACAACAACACGACATGAACGGCAGCATGGGTCAGCAGGCCAACCTCCAGGCCCTGTTGTCTCCGAATGCTGCTGCTACCCATCAGCTGTTGGACAGTACCGCACAGAATTACATGGGCAAAAGCGCTGCGGCGCCGTATATGTACTTCAACATGCCGCGGTTCCCGCCCAACATGGCGCCTAAGCCTTTCGTGCCTGTATCGGCGCCGGGCGGACAGTTCGTTTTGCCGCAATCGATAAATTCCACCCAGAAACGGTCTTGGCAACAGGCGTTTCCGGGCAGCCCCGATGCCTCCAACAAGCGTCAATTTCCGCCTTCCCATTCGCCGTTCCAACTGACGCAGGCGCCTAACGCAGCAGCCGCCGCCGCCGCAGCCGCAGCCATGGCCGCCCCTTACTTGCAACATCCCGCCCAGTTTTATACCATTTAATCCACATTCCGATTCCCACTGCGCAGCCCTGTTCCCTTTTTCGTAATACCTACTGTTAGTTTTTGCTGTTAGTTTGATAATTAGAGAGCTTATAACTACTACTGGGTACATGGTTAGAGTGGTAAATGGTACACAAACAATTTGTTTTATTTATTTTTTATTTTTAAAAATAACAATATCCGTCCTCTGGGTTTATTATAATATAATATTATTATATTATTTTAATTTGAAATACTATAATTTACCGACTGCACAAATCGTACTTAAAGCATTTTGAGCTTATTATTTTACAGGGTATTGTTCGAATTTGTAAAATACTCATTAACTATTTTTTTAAACTTTGTTTTTAGCTTAATTAATATTTTATAGTATTTAAGACTAGTTTTTTTTTATTACTAATAACATTATGTACTTAAATGTTTTCTCTCGTTTGAATGCCCACGTAGAAATTGGTGACGCGTGTTGTATATGATTCGTTATAACTTATAGATCATAAAACGACTTTATTGTGCCTTCGACAAAACTTTTGACCTATAAAATACCATTCCATTTTATATAGTCTTGTTATTCATTTTTAATTTTTTTTTCGTTTTTCGCCCCCTAATAGTTTTATAGGCCCTGTTAATGTTTATTTTTTTTTAAATTTGTTTTTCGAATAAAAACGCTTTAGGCCAAACTGACGTTTAACTTAAATTCGGCCTTCTTGTTAGATATATAATAAATGTAATATTGTTAGGTTATTTTATATAAACAATTATATATATATTATATGTATTAACATATTTTTTCTGTTAGCTACTTAGAAATATTTAGACGTTTAGACTTTTTTTTTTAAGTTAATTAGTTAAATAATTATTATAGTTTTAATAATAAATATATATTTTTATATTTTATAAAACATTAACACCAATTTTACACGTACTGTTTAAAAGTCTCAAGCTTTCGCTATTGATAAATTTATTTCTTCTTTTTTTTTTATTTTTAAATATTAATATCTGTTTCATAAATACATGTATTGGGATTGTTGTTTTTGCGCTTAGATAATTTATAATATTTGAAGCTTTCATGTGGTTGAATCACGCGTGTGGTGATTGAAACAAAACTACTAAAATAGTTACTTTATACAAAACATATACATACACTATTACCACCGTATGTTAATATTATAATACCAAATTCATCTGTATGGTAAAAAAAAAAAAACGAATATGGTTCTGGGGATAACAATAGCTTGGTGTTTTTTTTTTTTATGCATGATTATTATTACATAGTAAAATTTATTATCGTTAGCGCGTTTCACGTTGTTCTGTTCAAGTGTTCACCTATACTAATTAAAACGATTATCTATTTAAATAAAACTATATGCCCATGTGTCGAGACAATACAGCGCGCATAATACCATATTTTTGAGCATTGTCAAAACACAGACCGACTGTCTAGCCACTATCTGTATTAGATCCGAACTGTGCTCTTATATTGATTTTACAATAATACATATTAATAATAATTTTTATAAAATTTGTTATTATAAAATCAATGTCGTGGCGGTGTCGACAATTGAACAGAAGAGCGGTGTAAAAAGTTTTTTTTTTTTTTAACATTTTCCGGGGACGATCATATATTATAGTGAATCATAATATATAGCTATATACGCTCGTATATACAATTTATATATATATATATGAACGTTTTAACAAATAGAAATAAATTTACGGTAGCGGAAACTTGCGATTTTGTGCTGCTCATAATCATTAGATGTTAATAGATTTAAATAAAATAATAAAAAACGCTGTACCTAGAAAGTGAAAATTGACAAACTAATTGACATTGTGTACAAATCTCATGTAATTGATCGATTGTTTTTTTTTTTTTTTTTTGGTGTGTATGCATAATTCATTAATTAATAATAATAATAGACAATTTTATTTTTTTATATATATAAATATCAAAAAATATATTGAAATATTTGCCGAATGGAAATAGTTGGTGTTGAAATCGTATGTTTTTTTTCTGCTTTTACTACATTTATTATTATTAATAATAATTTAGTTTATACGTCGTTGTTCCGACTTGAAGAAAACGGGAGGCAGACAGAGAAGTCATGTGCGACCATCAAATCGCTGCTTCTGTCCTATGGCTTTTTAGTGTGTGTCGTATATACATTAATAAAAATATATATATAAATATATTTTATTGTTATTAATTATAATTATCCACTAGTTAAAATAAATTGTAATTGATTATAATGTTTAACTCACGGTATCTTTGCTAACGATATTAATATAACGTCGACATTTGGTTGGTGCTGCCTCCTCTATTTGTTCTACTGCCAAAAATCATAATATTATACATGCATGTAGATTTCTTTATTTTTAAAAAGGTGCCAGTCAATTATATAGTGTAGAGTTTGCCACCAATAAAAACGGGTATTTGGGTAAATGAGATTGTACAGACAAAAAACCAAGCCTGTTGTGGTGTAGATTGTGAAATGGGGATGGAAGCCCCCATTATTATTGGTGTGCGATAAACTACCCTTGGTCATTGCGGTTTACAATCTATATATTATATAATACTATGTTGTATACTTATATTACACTGGTTTGGATGAGGTGTTAACAGCTTTCCAAAGTTAACAAGTGAGTTTTTTTTTCTACACACGGTAATAATGATTTTGTGAATCGATTCATCGACAATACAAAATATATATGTATATGGTATATATATATACATATATTTTTATTTTATATTTAACAAAAACTGCTTTCTAATGGAATTGTCTAGTATCTATCTACCTTGGCAACCAACGGACCCAGTGCAGATCTGACTAGACCACCGTCGATTGCTTTAATATTTATTTTTTTATTGTTTTTTATTTGATTATTAGGTATGGTGGCTTTTTTTTTTATCATTATTACTTTTATTGTTATTATAATTCAATCAATAATTAGATTATAACTTCGGTGTTCACGTTTGGTAAATACATTTGTTAGAGCACGGGGCGTAAAAAGCAAAAAAAAATATATTGGTTGCTGGTGATTGGTGGTGTTAAAAAATCTTTCTGGTGAGTTCGTTAAGACTTATTTACATATTTTATTTTATACATATTTATACATATAACCGCTTAATTCACATCCTTTCGCTTATACGTAACACATAATATTATATTATAATATGACCATCATCCTGAAAACAAAACCATTTCCACGCTTCAATCACATTCCCGTTGAGTTTCATAAATATAGGAATTCGCCATTTTTGTTATTTTTAACACTGCTAACCAAAAATATGTTTACAGGTGGACCACTGTTGACGTCTCCGCCTTTCCCGCAGCCGACCTCAAACTTCTCTCCCTTTACAGGGCCACCGCCCTTGATCGGACACCAACCACCGCCAACGATGGGCGCCCCCTACCCTCCCATACTGTACTGGCCGTATCCGTCACCACCGATATCTCCACCTCACCACCAGCCTGCGCTACTCATCATGCAGGGTACGCCACCACCTCTGGCACCTCCACCACCAATGGACATGTGTAACCTCATACATTCTATGTCGGAGGTAAATTGCTTAATTCCATAGCATAATATGCAAACCGTTTAAAATTTTGTTAAAATATTTTGTTTATGTTTTACAGTGGAACATCGATTACCTGCAACAAAATCCTCAGTTTTGTGCTATGAGCGTAGGTATGTTTGTGTTATACAAAATATCTAAAAACAATTTTAAATATGTCACTATATAATATTACTGTTTCTGTGCCCCATTGCCATTTTTCATTTTTTTGTTGATGACTATCCCATGAGCGTGAAATAACGGTGCTTAATCGTTTTTGTATTTTATTATAAATTTTAGGTCCGATGGGAATGCACTCGGCTGCGGCTTAACACCCGAATCTGCCAGCCATGCCGTCACTTCGATTCGTTGTTTAACGCCTCATCGAAAATAAAGTCATGAGTACAACTTAGGGCCCGTGTACTTAAAATATGTCTACAATACCTCTTCCCCTATAAAAAAAAAAAAAAAAAAACAAAAAAATACAAATTATATTTACAATAATATTGACGTTAAAAATTAATAGTAGTGTCAAACTTTTCTAGATAGAAAGATAGCTAATCCAACAAATATCATGGTTGTCTTCCATACAATAAATGTACATAAATATAATACGGGTACACGTGTTGTAATAGAACCGATGTACCGATTAATAAATATAACTGTTTATTATTTTGTATGTTTGTATATATAAATTTTTATGATTTGTAGTAATAATAATTACTGATATTTGTGAATTATTTCAAAAATAATCTCAACGTGATTCATTTATTTTTACCAATTTAGTATTTCTTTTCATTTTATGAATTTGACTTATTTTCACATAAAATATATAAATATACCATTGTTTTTTTTTTAATTTTATTATATAGCTTACAAAATTTTGGTTTATTCTTTATATTTAATTGTTTTATCTAACAATAGCAGTGGATTTTAAATTTTACTCAGCGACCGACAAAAGTCTTGTATATTTTGATGAGTTATTAACTTGACGCACATAAAAGTAGTTTTCTATCAATAATATCATTATTAACTTAACTATATTCTTTTGTAGTGCATTTTGTACACCATTTTCGACTTGCGTAGCCCCTCGCATTATTTTTTGCATTATAATATTAGTCGTACTTTTATTATGCCCAAATTAGTTTGTTATAATTATTAATATAATTTTGTTTTTTTATTTGTAGAACGTAGTGAGATTAATTTATTATTATTACCGTTTCGCGTTAACTACCCAATTTTAAATAAAAAAAATTTAATATTTATGTTTTGTCAAAGATTATTAAACGGTGCTAAGCAAACATCTGTATGTTAGTTAAAAAAAATGTATTTTTATTTAAATTTATAGCGTTCAGTTTTCGATCTCTAAAATTGATTTTAGTTTAACAAAGTGTAACAAAAAAACAAAATATAGTAATAATGTTAGGTTTTAATATGTTAGACATATTTTGTGCAATTTTATGATGATTTTTTTTCAAGTAGATCTCAAATAAAAAAATTATAAAAAGTATATATATATATAGATATACATACACACATATATTAGTACATGTATCTATATGTATAACGTTTGTTTTTATTATAGTTATGACTCGGTTTTTTATTTTGGCAAGAGGGATATATAGCGGATGTCCAACTCTAATTAATCGATCAAATTACCAACAGATATATTAATTGGCTATGTAATAATATGTAGCTTTTCCAATTGATGTATAATTATTCATTTGATTTATTTGTATCTGTTTAGATCTGAAGTTAGACTATATACTTTATAATATTATAATATGGGACTAATACATTCCAAATTTTTTAAATATATATAAAAATAACATTTATATGAAAAAAAACATGACGCCTTATTTGCCAATAACCGAGGAAATTTAACTGATGAAAATTAAAAAAAACTTTTTTAACCAAATAGATGTTTTGATGATCTAAAAATTGTATGCTTATATGCTGTTGATGTTTTTTAAACTTTTATCTGTGTATTTTAATCATGTTTAATATGTGTTTATGTTATTTTCTTTTCTTTATTGTATTTCTTAAGCGTACTCTAGAAAATTCAGAGAGCTCCATCGTCCCCAAAGAATTAATGTAGTAGTGTTCTCTGTTTTATTAATGCAAAATAGGTACACTTTTCTTTATGGCTTTGTAGTAGTGTTGGACTGTTTATTATTATTATTGTATTTAATTTTAGACGGTAGTAAAATGACATTAAATAAAACAGTAGTAATATGTTTTTTTAATTCACGATTATTATATCAAGCACTTTGCAAATACGTAAACCTTTGTAAACTATAGTATGTACATAATATAATTAAAACTATAAAAGTACCAAAAAAAAAAAAAAACGCTTCATACTGATAGCAGCACAGTACAATAATTATCCATACTCAAATTATTAACTGTAGTGTTCATTTTTTATTTCAGTGACGAAACCCTGCTACTCTAGTAAAGTGTTGTGCAATATAATAGTAATCGTTGAATACAAAAAAGAAAGGCTTTTTTAGGTTGTTAATTAATTGTACATTAGATTAATGCCTTAGTTTTGTTTTGTTTATTGTAAAACTGTGTTTTTAGTGAATAACAAAGATATATTTAAAAAATAGTAATAATAAAAAATGTATTTCCTTATATTATAATTGTAATAATGAATTCTACTTATTTAGTTGAGGTTATATAAGACGGGCTGTAGGGAAAAATTACTTAAGTCAAATTTTCATAAAAAAAATAAGCTAGTTACACACCACTTGAGTGATGATTTCGGGACGAACGAATCGAGTTGTGGAAAAATAACTTATCGATACTGAAAAATTTGAAAATATTAACTACTGGGTATCATTTATCCTCACAGCCCATTTTATGAATACATATATATGTAAATATATATTACATATACTTTATTTGATAGGAAAAGTCTTTTCGTATTGTTGACCTCAGTCCCTCTTTTAGTCAATTATTAGTATGTATAAAAACAAAATAATACAATTTTACTTTTAGTTATATATTTATAATAATGTATACTAAGTAATTATACACTATTGCAGTAATATGTATTACAATAACTGTTACGATTTTACCTACCTATAGAATTTGTACTCGTAATGGATTATATAATACCAGAACTTCTACAATATAATATTTCATTTGAATTAGCATTGTTTAAAATTATATATAATTGTAGTAAACATAATATTGATGTATTAAAAATGATTCAACCAATTTGTTATTCAGTATACACAATTTTTTTCAAAACTTAAAATGTTTGTTAAGTTATTTATTCTTTACCTAATACCTGGGTGTTATTTTAATACATTTTAATATTTTTTTTAGTTATCCAATTTTAATTATATTTAATGTAAAAAAAAAAAATTCTTTGAAATTATAAATTATTTTTATTTTAAACAATCAATATAAATGCATTTAAACATACAAATTAATTTCAAATAAAAATTAAAAATAGTTTTTATTTTATTTTATTATTAAAAATAAATTTTAACTGTTAGGTGACAAAACCATTTATGTTTTTCAGAGTTGTTCTATAATTACGCCTAGAAACATTTTGTCAACTGATTATTTGTAAGGTATCGTTATTTAAAAACCTATATCTCTTGTAGGTAATAAGGCAGGGGACTTAATAAAACTGCTCTGTGTAATCTACAAAAAAATTCAAATAATACAAACTTAAACGCTTAATTATAAGTCTAAAGATTTTTTATATTTAATTACAAACTAGCTGAATTATGGCACACCATTGACCATTGTAATTCTACTTTAAAAGAAGGACCAGGTTTTAGGGAATAACTAACAGATGCAACACAAAAATCATTATTTAACTTGTTTCTTTAATGACAAATTTCATAAGAATAAACAAAATAATAATTCCATGTAATATATTATAATTTTTTTTTTTTGTTGATAATAATTGCACAATAATTAAATACTTTATCACTGTAAACGAGTATTGACTAAGGAAAAAAATAAATATAAATACATTTGACAACGTACTTGAATACCTTTGGAATGGTTTTAAGACATTTGGAGAGCCTTTTAAATATGCAAAGAAATTTTGCCAAAAACAATAATGACATAAGAATAATACAGTTAAAAAGACGTGATGTTATTGTCAAGTTATGACTTCTTGTATTGAGCTAGTCACAAGTTGAAATTATAGACACTAAAATAATGTATACAAATTTTAAAGTACATTTGGACTCTACAATAACATAATAATTGAATTAAGCTTACTCTAATTCTTAAACGTTTAAATGTCTATACATGCCGAAATGCCATAAAGAGGACGGTTCCGTTGGTAGTAAGTATAGAGGCAAAGCATATATTATAATTTTAAAAATAGGAAATCACACAAAAATGTATTATATTATTAACACAATTATCTGAAGTGTATCTCGAAATAATTTTATCACCATTTTTTTATGAAATCCAAAGTTAAGTAATAAATAATGAATACACTTTCTTTCAACCACATCATATTAGTAAATGGCCTTCTATTATTGTTGTAAACGTAATCATTGCCATAAGTTGGGTGAAAGTGTATGGCCTTTTTGGGGTTGAGAGTTGAGATCTGTAAAACCATTTGTGTTTGCTGGCACTGTTGCAGGACGTCCCAAGTTCATTAAGTTCATTTGTTGCGGCAACTGTGAAGAAGTCATATTAAATTTAAATAGAACAATACTTAAATCCAACAGTTGATTCATATCACGTATTTTTATATTGACAAATGTACTTACATTAGCAAAGTTGTTAGACTGTTCAAACATAGAAAATTGGCTATTTTGATCTATAGGGTTGTCCTAAAAATTATAATTATGTCACTACTGGATTCTAATGGAGGCATGCACAATGTATAAACTATTACTCATTTACTGGGATACCTATTAAAATTTCATGTTACTACCAAGTGGCTTTTTTAATAAATATTTAATGCAGACAGAAATGTCTAGTATCAAATGGTTCTCCGATACAATAACAACTTTTCAAATCTTTTTCCCGATGTAAATAACAAAATAAAATATTTTAATTTATTTAAGTATTACTATTTAAAAACGTGAAAATTGAAATGTTTAAAATTAAAATTAATAGAGAGAAACAAATTTTAGTAAGAGTGAGACGTCCACCGCGTGGGTTGCCAAAAGACAAATCATACTATTCAATAAACAAATACATAATAAAATTTTAAATTTAACAACCAAAATAAAGGTAAGTGTTGAAAAAATTACAATATTGCACATAGATGTATCACAATACTGCTAACACATTCCCTCCCCACCCACAAATATTTAAGAAGAGTAACAATATAGATAATTCAAAAATTCTTTTTGATGATCCCTATAATTGTTCTTTTAAAATGTTTATATTCAAAATATTATATTTATAGGTTAGCTCTGTAAAATATGTTATTAAAATACTTACGTTATTAAGAAATTGAGACGAAGGATTTTTGGAGGCCATATTGTAAAATGGATTTGATGCAAAGTTAGCATTGGTAGATGTTGGAATATTATTAAAATCAATTGCGTTATTAGATAGCAAATTTACAGCACCTCCCTATAAACAATAAATAAAAAATGGATCCGTTGACGACAAATAAAGCTAGTTATTAATATTATTAAAATTGTTTTTACAATATTATTAGTTAACTGCATTGATTGCATGTTCTGAAAGCTATTGTTGTTGAAAGCGTTGGGAAATGGTTGTGGTTGAGGAACAAAACCGTTACTTTGACCTAAAGCATACAAAATTTTCACATTACAATTGTAGTAAAATATGTATACACTTAAAATGTTAACATACTTTTAAATTGGCTAGCAGCCATACTGCTCGGTTGTGATTTCCCATAAAGCGCTAAAATAGAGTCTGTTGTAAGCTTGTTTTTATTAGTAGTTGCTGTTGGTTGGTTGAAGAAATTATCTTCCTCCGTTGAACGTTTAACTGCTAAATCCGCAGATTGTTGTACAGGTGGAGATGCCGTTGTGGTGGATGACACAGACGCACTTAGAAAACTGCTAAATGGATCTGTCGAATCAGATCCAGTCGATGTGAATGAAGTATCTATAAGTGTTGGATTTGAATCTTTTGTCGGTGTATCTAAGTAATGATCCGAATTTCAATGTTAATTATTTGATATATTTTGATTATCATAATACAATGCAAACTAAATTACCTAAGCCAAGAAGATCGGTAGAATTATTTAAATCTGATGATATTGGTTTTTTTACTGATGCTAATTTTGGACTTAACGAAGCCGGTTTAGGCAGTGGATTCGCTACAATAGAAGGCACATTGCGTATAATTGACCCGGGTTTTGGTTCACGCTTCTTTTTCTTTAACTTTTCAGCCTCTTCTTCTAAATCTTTATCCCAGTTAACCTTGAACATTTTAAATAACATATACATATAAGTTAATATTTGAAATGTTAATATTTTTTAAATAATTAATACATTCGACTTTTTATTTAAACAAATTTTTAGTATTTGCTTCTTAGAAGTTTTAAAATTTAATATATTTTATAAAAGTAATGAAATTATTTAATTGGTTTTATAAAAACCTCTTAAGAAAATTACCATGAAATTAATAATTTATAAGTTAAATAGGCAATGATTGACTGTGTTTACTTTGGGTATCGGCGGTTGTACCCATTCCTTGGCAATGTATTTTTTGTGTTCATACTTCGACCTAATGAAAGCTTCTAAGGCAGAATCAGTTTGTGGACGTCTAAAATTATCTGGTAGATTTGCTTCATATACTGCTCGAGCACGACTGTTTCCCATTTGTTGCAAGTTCTGCGATAAAATACTGTTAGCTTAATCGTTCATTTACATGTAAGACAAAAACAACATATTTCAGGATGCTTACAGCCACTTGCTCAGGTGTCCAAGAGTCCAAATTTACAGAACGTACTTTGCTGATGTGCACACCGAGATTCCGATGAATCCCGGCGCACCTAATGCACAAGAAGATGCCCAAATTCCAAGACGCCCATCTTGGTCCTGGCAATTAAAAAACAAAATGTTGAAAAGACCCTTGACCTTTATTTTGTAGAGTAATAAGATTATACCTTTAGAATCGCAGTCCACACAATATTTGTTATCGTCATCTTTTAGCATTTGGTTCAATAAGGTCTGGCATCTGTCCTGCAATTGCTTTTGTTTGTCTTTTTCTGTTTTAGAAGTCATACCGCACACTATGACGATTACAAGAGAACTAAATAATAGGAATATTATTATATTCCTTATGGGGTACAAGCGATACCAAAAAAAACGAATTAACAAAAAACTATTTAAGAAATCATTGGCAAATTAAAGATGCCATAAATTATGATTCATTCTTTTATTATCGTAGATTGTTAAATTTATTTTTCTTTTGATACATATTACTTATTAGCATATTGTAGCTACATGTTTTATCACATTCGGGATTTGGCCATTGAACTTATCATGGTGGCCAACGTAATCAAAATAGCACACGTTTCTATTTTGTATAGTCACGCAACGTTGGTGTGAATGACTACCGTTGTTTTTTTAATAATGGTACTTGGTATCATATCTATGGGATGGATTTTGTTATCACGTACCATTTATTGTCACGTGATAACGACGTACGGACTCTAATCGGTAGTTGTAAACAAAATATTATTATAGTGTTTACAAAAGTTACAGGGACGGGTGCTAACAATTGTTTTGTCTTTATTTCCTAGTCAGTCCGTATTATTTAATTTAAAAAAAACAACGAGTTGCGATATCAGGTTGACTTTGTCTAGTCGTTTGTGAGTGAATACTGAATTATGTTAAACCGGTTCCTATATTTTTCTACGCTTCTGTTGTGTTTCACAAGTGCCCAAGACCCCAAAGGTTATATTGCTTATTGCCCGTGTATGGGTCGTTTCGGCAACCAGGCTGATCACTTTTTGGGTGCCTTAGGTTTTGCTAAAGTGCTAGACCGTACACTTTTGTTACCACATTGGATCGAATACCAGTATGGACGACCAAAGTCCTTGCAAGTGCCATTTGACAAGTACTTCAATGTGACATATCTAATGGAGTTTCACAAAGTTCAACTGATGAACGATTTTATGACTGATATCGCAGAGAGTTTATGGCCTCCCGAAAACCGTACATCTTTCTGTTACATGCAGCGTGGTGAAAAAGAAGGATGTAACGCTAAGTCCGGCAATCCATTTGAATCATTTTGGGATACCTACTCAGTTGATTTCCAATTTTCAGAATTTTATGCACCATTGAACTATGACGTGCATCATCATAATATGGCTGCACAATGGAATGAAAAATATCCACCAACAAGTTGGCCTGTCTTGGCATTCGTCGGTGCTCCAGCCAGTTTCCCGATACAAAAAGAAAACGTGCAACTTCACAAATATTTAAAATGGAATTTTGAAATCGACAGTTTGGCAAAACAATTTATTAACGAGAGAATCAAACCTGGAAAATTTGTTGGTATACATTTACGTAATGGTATCGATTGGACACGAGCTTGTGAACATATCACAAAAAACAACTTATTGTTTTCTGCGCCTCAGTGTTTGGGCTACCGAAATGAATATGGTAAAGCAACAGAACAATTGTGTTTTCCAACTTTTGAAACCATTGTAAGACAGCTGAAAAGATTAATAAGGAAGCATCTTGAAGACATAAGTGCAGTTTATGTATCATCAGATAATAATCATTTGATTCCAGAGTTATCTCAAGCACTAAGTAGTTTTAATATAAAGATTATAAAATACAATAAAGAGAGTCCGCATGTAGATCTAGCTGTGTTAGGTCGAGCTGATTATTTTATCGGAAATTGTGTGTCATCATTCAGTGCCTTTGTAAAACGTGAAAGAGATACAAAAGATCTTCCAAGTGAGTTTTGGGCATTTCCTACTTACCAGAAAAGCAATCATATTATCAGAGATGAACTTTAAGACAAATGTTTTAACTTTAAATAGTATGAAAAAAAGTATTTCTAACTTGGTACAAAAAATCGATTACTTCCATTATAATAAGTTAGTTTTTAATCGATTATTATTATTATTAAGTAATCATTTCTTTACTTTCCAAATCTTTTACTTTATATTTTTCAAAGATTTTTTTTTTTGTATTATTAGCATTGTATTAAATTTAAGATTTCATTTTATATGTATGCAATGTGATATTCCATAGATATATTATTATTTTAGCTTTGATGTGATTCTGTGAACTTGTCTTATTATAATTTAAAAGAGACTTGCATTAATACAATAATTTTCTATATTTTTACTTGTAAATAAATCTAAAATCAAAAACGAGTTACTACGGAATGCCGACAGATTTGTAAGACTTGTAGTATTTGCTTATATAATTTTTATTATTAGTGGTGAAAACTGAAACTAGGTTTCTTTCAAATATTTTTAATAGCTCAATCATTCTTTTTTTGTTCGATTGCTGTTTATTGGCAGACCTAGTACCTGCAAAGTATTTGTGATAATTCTTTAATTATTGAGTCTAACAAACAAATAAATGAAAAGGTAAGTCTGATAAACCTGAAAAACAATTATTGTTTTTCATTATTTTTATTTAATTCTTCTATGCATAATTTCTGCAGATTTCATTGTATAAATAGAGCTTATCTGGTAAATTGTTTATAAAAAACTAAGACTTGTATGGAATGCTTTTGTATGATCTATTTATAAAAAAAATATATATACTTGTTTACAATGTAAAAATGTTTGTTCAATTTATTGTTATAAAATAATCAAAATTGTAGTTCATTTTAAATCATTGTTTGATTTGTAGACTAATATACTAATATATAACATAATATATAAATGCATACGTGCATTTATAATATGACATATTTTACTCTTACACGATAACCGAAGGCGTACATAAAATATTTTGTACAACCCAACAGAATACAACTTATATAAATTAGAAAAGTTAGTATACATTGATGGCTTGCTTAGTCCTAAGAAGTTCTAGTACAGCACACATTTTAAAGCATTAGTACAATGCATTACATGTGTTGGAGTTTAAACTTATTATAGAAACACACAATAGTGTATGAATTTCTCAAAACATAATTTGTTTTATTACTTGGTCAGTCTTAGTTGTTTTGATTTGTTGTGTCCGTCATGTATGAAAATAATAAAAACAATAAAACTTTATGAGTAAAATTCAATAAGGATATCTTTTTAGCTTTCCTGTCAGAGTGGACGTATTGCGTTTAATTCGTCCATAGAGACGCCGTAGTCATTTTTTCGGCGGCGCGTTTGATGAGATTTTCACTTTGAGACGTTTTAAGAAGTCTTTGGCCATCTTGTCTGTTGTCCTAGTTTCGAGTACTTTAACGATTTCTGAATCTATTACAAATATTGTACAAATTAATTGAACAGCATTACAACTGTTTATATACTTGAATCTAAGAATATAAGTAATATATACTTGAATATTAATGAGATGATAGACCTTACGATAGTTGACATTTGGAAGAGAGAAATTAGCATTTTATATGAAATAAAACCCTCTGATGTAATCAGATAGAAATATCAGGTTCTATTTCATATAAAATGCTAATTTCTCGAACAGCGACAACTATTTTTATTTATATCTAAGAATATGCAACTCTTGAATTTAATGAGATGATAGACCTTACGATAGTTCCTTACATTTGGAAGAGAGAAATTAGCATTTTATATGAAATAAAAACTTTTAGTATAACCTTTCAGGTAGAAATATCAGGTTCTATTTCATATAAAATGCTAATTTCCCGCTTTCCTACACGACAAGATAATCTATTGTACATATTTATGATGAAATCTCTGGTCTCCCGGATATAAACTTCCAAATGACAACTATCGTAGAGCATCTCATGAAATCCACGTGTCGCATATTCTTAGATAGAAAGTAGCTTATTTTCAATATGAACAAGTGTGGTAAGATTCAACCAAAAAGTTGATAAACATAAGAGACTCGTGTCATGTGTCGAACTCGACTTACCTAACGATTTGGGCACGGTCAATTTTAACCTCATTTGCGGCGCGTTGCCAGTGTCGTTCTCCAAAGGTGTGGACGGGATGTCTTTGAAATGTACGAATGTCTCGGATATGAATTCGGCCGTCATTCCCATGAAATCTTGATCTTTCAACACGAACAAGATCAGGCCGTCTTCCGCGGTGCGTTGTTCGCGAGTCAATGGTCTAAAAGGGGAAATAAAAAAAAAATTAACTAAATCCCAATCAGCCATTTACAATATATATATATATATATATATTACCTACAGGTAGCACCAGAGTTGGCAAAAAACCGACAAAGTTAGGTTGTTTTGGGTATATATAAACCGCTAATAAAACCCATAGTGAATTTGGTTAAATTTTCTGCATTTAAAGAAGAAGAAAAACCCTGCCCGATTTTTGGTGGTTTACGTTTTATGCCAACTCTGGATGGAACGTGATTAAAGTAAAATCGGTGCATACATTTTGAATGATTCGTCGAATAACGGAAACAGAGTTTTCTTTTGGACTGCGGTCGTGGGCTTGATAACGTTTTCGAATTTGTACTTGGGCAACAGCCGGACTTTGACAAACGGATCGCTGTAACCTGTACGAGGGGAAACGTTATGTGTATAATTATACTATTGCGACGCATTCGCCATCATAATGAACTACAGTCGCATACCGTTAGAGTCCATGGCTCTTATGTTGTTGGCGTTGAGTACTTCGACGTTCAGGTTGTCGTTGACGAATAACAATTTGACCGCCAAAACTCCCTGGTCGGCTTCTTCGAGTTGCTGTTGCTCGTCATGACGTTCTAGATGATACTCGTGTATTAGTTCTACGGTTTCGAGGGTGTGAAGTCTGAGCAGAGCCTCTAGGGACTCTATGGTCTCGCTCTTTTCGGTCTCGTCACCGCTGCGCAGGAACCCGAACAACATGTGAAAACTGTCGCTCAAATTTTTAAAGTACGAAGGTGGCTTCTTTTTCTACAAAAACACAATCATTAGAAGGTAACAATAATGTAACCATCGGCCATTCGTTTTGTTTACGTCTAAACTGTTTTGGATAAGTTTGTGCATGATGTTCGCCAGCTGTTCGACGATGATATCCAAAATACGTTGAAAGTTTTCCTCGTTGAGCTCGTTGCTGAGCGTGCACAGGTTTTCGTCCAGGTATTGGATCAGGTTGTCCAAGTGATTGTTGTGGGTGTTTATCGTTTCCCCGCCTTCGGTTAAGAATTTGTTCATTTCCGGAGCCATCTAAACACATCGGTACATTAAAAATGATTATTCCCCCTACATAACTCCCATACGACCGTCTTGCGCTGTCATACTTTATTCACTACAGTTTGCAAAAGATCAATGATTTTATTGTTGACCGTGTCGATGGCGTTGTCGACGACTAGCTCCAGGGTCTTTTTGCAATGCTCGGCCGAAATCTCGCTTTTGTAGTTGGCCAGGCTGTCCATGAGTTTAGTTAAACCCAAATCGCTGACAAACGGCCTAATTGACTGTTTCACGTAATCTATGTTGTTGACAGCCAAACACCACTGCGCGACCAAACGAATAAAGTGAATACGATAAGCCGGTGGATTTCGTTGTTCGGTTAAGTTCTCAACTTACCTCTTTGGAGACTTCGAATCTCTTCTTGTCGCCTCCGTACCGGTTCACTTTAAAGCCCATCTTGTCCGAATAATACACGGAACACCGGCAGATATCGTCAATTATTTTCGCCACGAACGAATATGATCCTTCGACGTCCGGCCAGGCCAACTGTTGCCAGAACACTTTGATCTGATAGTATATGGCTAGGGTGTCGACGGCCGAAGAGCTGTACTCCACGGATGTGTCCATTTTTACTAGTTTGTCCAGGTCGACAGCCCTTTCGATACGTTGCATCGCCTTGTACGCTGCTATGTCCAACCATCGGGCCACGCCCTGCTGGAACCACAGGTGATATTTGAATATGTGACTGGTCTCGGGATCTATTTCGCAGGTGGATTTACCGAGGCTGTAAACAAAAAAAAAAAAAAAAACAAATCGTGTTTAGTTTTAAGAAGGCACCAGCAAACTGATTACAAAATGGATTACTCTGAAAATGTCTGAATGCTCATGTAGAGTTCGAACAGCGAAGTACCCATTGCTAGCGGATCTTTGTCCACTTCGAACCGTCCATTTTCTTCGAAACAAATGGGCTTCATGTTCATGCAGATGCGCGTGATGAATGGTTCACACATTTCGGTTATCTTATTCTCGTAGATGGAAAAAAGAGCGTTGGCATATAGAAATTGCATTTTCCTCGGGGGTAAAAAAAACCATTCAAAGATCAGATGAGACTAGTCTTTTGGTGGATAACAAAATATGTCTTACTTGATAAATATTTTGTTATAGAATTCTAAAGCTTTTTGCAAGTCTGATTTTAAGTATTGGATGATTTTTATTTGGAGTTTCATCTGTCCTTCTTCGGTGAAGTCTGTGGGTTTATTGTGTTCTAGTATGTGTATGTACCTAAGGATTGAGGGGAAATAAACTGTTCACGTAAACCGTCACGTTAAATTTATCATTTTCTCGAGAACTCACCAGTCTATCGCTCCTTGGACGACGGCGTCATGCAAAGCTGTCTTTATATCTCTAGTGTGTTCGCAGGGCAACAGCCAACCGTACATGTCCAAAGGAAATAGATCGAGGTCTTGAGGCTGTTCAAACGAGTAGAGATGTCGCAAAACGCTAACAACAAACGAAGAGTTGCAGCACCATTGTATATATAAATTATTATTACTTAATTACTTATATACTTACTTTAAATTCGATTCTAATTGTACTCTATAGCGTTCGTCTTCCGGTGAGGTCTTCCTTATCATTCTGATATTTGTATAGCAGAGTGGCAGTAGCTTTTTAGCGGATTGCCAAAACATTTTTAACTGAAATATAAAAAAGTTATTATTATCTGCATCGCCAATATTGTCATTTGACCAACTGTTAACTGTGCTTACCTCTTCGTCACAAATCTTTCCGGTCGTTATGGGTTTCACCAGCTTCTCAAGTATGTCTGAAAATACTTTGAAACTGATGACCGGACTTAACACTTGGGTGTTAACGTATTCGATCCATTGGCTCAAGCATTCGTCTACGGGTGAAATATTACCTTGCGTCACGTGTTGTTGAATGATCAATTTGGATTCCGGTAAGAAATCTCCTTCCCACGAATACGATTCAGGCTGTGGATGAAAATTTAGTATGAAAACTTGAAGTAGAACAAACTACGAACACGGAATATGCAAGCAATAACGGCTAACTGACCTGTTGGACGTTTATTTGGTGAGCCAACAACACTTTCAGTAGGTGTCTATGCTCTTGGGCAGCAACTTGTTTGTCTTTTTCGCTGCCGAACGATAATTTCAACAGCAGATTACCCTGCGGTTTGGCTTTGCCTTTTTTCTCCAAGTTGTACCAAGCTATCTGTCCACGAGACGGCACCGTCTGCACACATATAAAAACATTATGAAATAGAAGTTTTAAAAGGTGGAGAGGAAGAATTCAAATTTTACCTTTAGCGGTACCATTGTTCCGCCGATGATTTCATTATCATGTTTGCCGTTTGTGGCCGTGACTGCTATTTCTTTCATGAACCTCCTCATTCCCTTAAACCCTTTGATGTCGCCTACTTTGGTGACTTTCTCTTTGACCGTTTCGGCTGGATCGAAATCCCAGACTTCCACACACAGGATATCGTCAGCTAAACCATTATTGACCGGCCTGAAGCATACATACTGGGTTTAGTCTACGTAGGAAACTATACAACCCCCGTCCTTGTTCTGTGTACACTTACAAAGAGAAATGTTCTTCCCAAACGGGCCGCAGTGTTTGGGTCTTCACGGATGTGTTGTATTTGTGTTGAGGCAAAGACGACAAAAACAGCGTGCAAAAGGGGTCGCTAAACCCATTGGCGTCTTTAGGCTTGATGTCTTTGCCCTCGACGATTTCAATGTTTAACATTATGTTGGGGGCCTTTAAAAGTTAACGGTGTAGTAAATGTTAATTATTATTTATTATTTAGATAACTGTTTATAATGAATATGTATAACAAAATTGTTTTTATAACTGTTATGATCAATTAATAAAAAAATGAGGTACAGACAATATTTTGATCGAATAATAGATACGACTAACTTAAAAAATCCCAGTGTTGAAAAGGAATTTTTAGAACGAGTTTATTTAAAATCTTGTCATCTTTCATTTTAGTTTTAAGTATTTTTGCTCTACAATCATCACGGAGCTAGCAACCATGTTTTAATGATAGAAAATTCAGTGTAAAAAGTCCTCTTAAGAGTTCTTTTATAAATATAATGGAGAAACTTTAGATATAATATCGATACCTTAAAGCACACAAGTGCTGTGTCCATACAATAAAACGTGGACAATATATGAATAAATTGCCAATATCTGCATACACATTTAAATTTTCTAATTCAACCTAAAGGGCCAAAAAGCGGAATTCGTTATTTTAAAAGGATATTAAGATTGTAATCATCTCCTAATCTAAATGCTTTAAAATAATATATTAAATATGTAAAAACTGTATTCTAAAGCAGTTAGGTATTGGCCCTGCCTAAGGGGTTTAATGGTACGGTTATGAACTTGAAAATGACAACTCACTTCTTTCTTTTTGACCGTCCGGTAAATAGCGTCATGGACGTCCTGTTCGATTTTGAACGCTTCCCGGGCAAACTCGACCAGAGCGTCTAGCTGGAAAAAATTCTTTTCGGCTCCCAAACTGTGGACGATTTCGTACAACACTTCTTCGTACAGTTCGTCCATCTGCAAACACACGTATCGATAAAAACGGCGTCTCTTGTGTTGTGCGCAAGTATAATATTTTTGTCGGTGTGCACCAACAGTCATGGACTGCATGCGCATTTCACTTCTCCTCTGCATTTCTTCCTTTTTGACACCCCTAAAATTGAAAAGCCTCTCTTTGAAGTTGCCGGGCATGACTGGCGCGTTTAGACGGTCAACGATTTCGCGACACACCAGAGATTGTGCCCGCCGGGATGGTATCGAGAAACACTGTGTTCAACGCTGGGAGAAAATGGCACTTCTAAAGATAAATCGGACGCGCGTGCCGTACTAGCCAAATGCGCTATTTCTGTGTACGATCCGCTTTTGTGCCAAACCGTGATCTATCTAAACCACACCCCGCCCCCGTACAGTATTTGCGTTAACCGGGTGTTTGGTATTTTTGTTTTGTTTTGTCTTACTCGACTACCGACAAGACAACAAACAACAGTCGGGGGCTCGTTTTCACTTAAAAAAGTGGGGGTGTTAAATTACCGACGATATTGTAATTAAAATTATTTTAATACATATTTTATTCGAAATAGAACACGATAGCAACGTTTGAATTTTTTTTTTCAGACACAATTTTATTCGAACGCCCAAATCTGCTCAAAGGTCGTTTGGTTGGATTGAATTGGCAAAAAACAAACGGCCAACACTTATTGTTAAAATGTCGTCAGTTTAATTAATAATAAATTAAAACGACCATACCAACAAAATATAGCCTAACTGAATGTTTTCACGACCCACTAATTATCCACTCACAAAACTATCAGTGGTATAATAAAAAGTAATACAAAAAAATGTATATTTATGTATTAAAATTACTATGAAACTATTATACGAGCTTATAATATATTACTATATCAAACGAAAGAGTAACTTATTAGAATTCTAACAAAATCGTCAGATTCCAAAAATATTGAATAGTTTACTAAGATTTATTGACGAAAAAAATATGTTTTTTTGGGTCACCCTAATTGAAGGCCCCGGTTGAATAACCAGGTATGTCCACATTTTTTCAAAATTGTGTTTTGATAAAGAAATATTGAGAAAAAAAATCTCTTTCGATTGGTGCAACAACCGAATACGTCCGGACGTAACTGGTTGTTGCTCCCAACAACTTTAAACTTTAAACTTTATTTTGTTGATGCATTAAGGGACGTTGTATTAAATAACCTAATTGGTGATTTATGTTATTCCAATGACTTAATCTCTAGTTAACTATTTAATTAAAAAATAATATGATTATTATTTAACGTACATACTAATATACATACTAAAATAGATGACTTATTTACTACAATAAAATATTGTGTTAATTAGTTGGCTGCAATAACCAGTTATGTCCAAAAACTAAATTGGGCGTAACTGGTTATTGTAACCATTGAAAATATAAATATCATAGTTTTTTAGTTTTTATAAATATTATCATAAATATAAAATGTAAACCAAAGGAAATGGGTTTAATTGATGTATCTTATTCTTACAAAAAGAATAACACCATATTTTTAATTTTTGGTTTATTTACCAATTTTATAGATAGTTTTTTATGTTTCCTGAACAATTTTGAAAAATTGACGTAACTGGTTATTGCACCGGGGCCTTCAATTTACTTTTGCCTCCTTTAATATTGTTATCAAAAATTAATGTTATAATTTGTAAAATTAATAATATAAATTTATCAAGTTTTAACAATAGGGTATTCAAAAAATAAATTATTGTTTAAAATAAAAAAATGGCATTGTATATTTTATAAAATATAGTATTATAGTTTTAACAACATAAATTTATAAAATTAAAAATTAAAAAACATCATTATTGGGAAACCAATATCTTGTACCATCCGCTTCGTAGCCGAAATGACGTGTGAAATATTTCATTGTATTTTTGATACAAAAATACTATACTTATGTTTTTACATGTGATTTTGTTGACTTTGCTCGATAAATCAATTCATTCAAATCGATTGACTCCCGTTTTTTTTTATTAGGGTGTACCTGTTCAAGTGTTATTATTTATTACATTCTATACTGGTCGAATATGAAAGTTGGCAAAAGATTCAAAGCGACTTTTAAGAGGAGGGAAATCAACATAGTTAGCACTCATTAGGCGTTGTTAACGAGACCATTGTTTATTGCATATAGCCGACGATTTTTTTTTTGTTGGCATTCTACAAAAAACAGTAAAGCAAAAAAATCAAATACATATAATTTCTATAGGTATTATTATTAGCTAACTCGTATGCAGGTGTATACGTATCAAGATTTAAACGTGCTATTTACATTGACCTTGTAAAATCGTTCTATATTTTTTATAAATTGGAAACGACCCAAATTTTTATCCGACTGTTATTCAGACATTTTCCTTAACCATCCCACCGTCATAAGTCATAACACACGTATTTATACTGTATGATCGATTCTCATCGTCGGTAGTTTTCGTAGAATTATTTGTTGGCGCTTAATTGTGCCAGAAATCGAAATTCAAATACCACACGAGAAGCCCGAGTTAGCTGTTCGTGCAAAACGATATTCCGGGCTTCAATAGAAATACTGATAAATAGTAAATACCATTATGTTGCATACATTTTCTATATGATGATTTAACACAGCTTATTCTCGGAACCAATTTTTTTTCCTTGTGAAATCGTTTAGATGCAAAGTAAGTACAAAAGGGGATGTACTGAGGTCAAAGTAGAGCAAATAATAATTGAAACATTATTGAGCAATTACAAAAAAAAAAAAAACAATTATAATACGGCTATACAATGCTAACGCAGCAGAATATCAAACTTTTTCTATCATTTAAGGCCGCAGAAAAATAACACTTATCTCCTGCCTCCTCGTGTTGTGAGCCATATGATTGTACAAAACGTGTACTGTACTTAATCAAACTTGAAAGTACTTTGTAGGTATACATAGGATAACTCACATTAAGCTCCATTACCGAAGACAGGAATTCTTTGTACGACGGAACCGTTTGCAGTGTGTCTTCAAAAATCTTGGCTAACTCATTCTCGTCCAGAGTAGCCAATTTGTCTTCTTCATCGATAGAAGCCGTCTGTTCGGCGACGTTTTCTTTGAGGCCCGAACCATACCGTTCGAAAAACCCACCATCGAGTTGTTCGGCACTGTAAGGATAAAAACAAAAAAATAATAATAATACCGTTAAAATAGTGCAAAAAGAGGGCTAAAGCCGCGAATGGGGAACAAGCGTGGGCCTAGACTAGGAACAAAAGGAGGGCTGTCGGCCAAGGGTCGATTTGGTTATGTTACGTGTAGTAGGTATAGTATTGTGATATTGTATGCTTGCACCAGATTTTCAAATATTATTGGTGGATATATTTGTCATTTTCATAGGTAACCGTAAATCGAACTGCTACTTCTCCAGTATAGTTGTAACTTGTATCGGCCGTAGCTCAGTAATGACTAATGTCCATTCTCCATTAGTAAATGATATACTTTAAAAAATAATTGTTAAAAAAAAAAAAAAAAATACCAAGCTTAAGAGGCATTGTTCCATTTCAAATGTTTACTCCTTGTTTAGAACCTACATATTAATGTTTTTTAGTCATCAAAATTAATATTCGACGACTAACATAATATTGTCTTAGATTGCACACGCATTCACATTTACCTTATCCTATAGGCTATATTATCAAGAAAACCAGTCCCTGCTTTTGTATTTGCTTTTATAAATCGAATAACCGATAACGATACTACCGCGCCTTGTAGTATTGTCCATGACTAAATAAAAAAATAAATAAACCAGCATGATTGCTAGATAATACTGCACAGGAAAATTGCCCCAGACTTGGAAAAAGAAGTATTTTACCGTGTTAATTGATCATTAATAATTAAAACATCTTCTATGACAGGGACAAAACGCGTGCAAATGCGTAAAGATAGAAAAATTTCTCAGTATAACGATCATGCTTATTTATTTAATCACGATTTTAACGTTTATTTTGTCAAAAGCAAGCATTGCTTTTAAATTTATATTCTGCCACCTATAAACAGTAAATATATAGATCCAAATATGTAATTTTCGTATGAAATTGTATACTATTCCGGATAGCATCTAACCCCTTTTGATTAAACATGGGACATATTTATTTTGATTAAAAATTTAAACTTTAATACAAAATATCAGAAGAAGGATTATCAAGTGTCATATTTTTAGCTTTAGAACCTTTTTACAAGTAGAAAAAATGTATTAATTTTTAAGATAGAATTTTTTTTAATAAAAACATAAATTTCCCATGAAAAAAAAATCATAAGAAAGTACCTAGAGAGTTTAGCTAGTAGAGTTAAGCTACTATTGATTAAAAGGTTAGGCCGTAGGAAAATAAAAAACAGTACAATATTATATATAAATAAAGGAGGACTTTAGTCTGCAAGTTACAATAGTTCAAATAATTATACTGTTAACTACCACATCATTTTTAATAATATAAAATAATTGATTCTATATGATTTTTCGCAGAAATATAATCAGGTCTTAGATTCGGCGCGGTATGCGGCGCGTTAGATGTATAATAATAAATCATTTCCTTTCAAGTGCAATCATCGCCAGCTGGCATGTTTCATGTTTATGTACAAACATTTTTCTTTGATAATAAGAATTATCGAAGTTTTTTTATTTAATACATTAATTACCATGAAATGCCATGCGCCCTCAGGCGACCGAACTGGCATAAGTTAGCTATAGTCCTCCCGGTCAAATACGCCATACGAATATAAATTCATACGAATAAATAAAATAATTAATTATTGACCACATAACTATAATACAGTCACTTTTTTTATTTTAAAACATTTAAAAGTTAATACACACAAATAAACTTTGATAGTTTCCTACTAGATAAATATTATACTGTATATTTTCATTGTTATTGTGATGTTTTTAATTACTGAATGTAATCTAAATATTATCGCCTGAATTGGAAAACTGGTTATCCTTTACTGATATATTTTTAGGCTTTAATTATAGTCGATATGGTATAATATTGCCGAATGAATATTAAATAAATTACAGTACTAATTACTTGTTTTATTCTTAGTTTATGTTATGAAAATTAATGTACCGAATGTACTATATGCTATCTATAAAATATATGAACGCAATAACTAATCAAGAATACGTCATTGGTTATCTTGGATTACAAATTATACACACGTTATACTTGCAAACATTTAAGTACATTTTTAAATACAAATTAAAATATTTTATTCAAATAAGTAATAAAAATTAAACTTTTAGCAATAAACTCTTTTGTAGTCTTGACCGTACCATTACCCCTACATCTCACAAAGAAAAATTAAACATTAATGTTTTTAATTTAAATGCAGTCGTGTAAATTGTGCTCACACTAATCAAATACTTTATTAATTAATAATTGATCCTTCGATATCCACAACAATTAATAATTATACGATTGAAATATATATGAAAAATATTATGTACGCTTTATTGAAACTAAAATATCTGTACTTATACATAATGACTGTTAATTATTATTTTCCACTCAATAGCCTTGGGAAATAGATGTAAACATTGAAAAAATACAAAACTAATTTACTAAAAAAAAACTACTAATAAAATATGCCAACACTTTTACTTGAAGGTTGAGTCGTGTTAACTTAATTTTTATTTTATCAATAATTAGTAGATATGTCGTATGTCTCTATAATTAAACGATAGCCATGAATTCATCAATACGTGCATATTATTTCCTCCATATCAGTTGTCACTCCGATTGCACCGCTTTAATTTTGAACTTTTGTCACTGGGTTTTTTTTTAATGAATCACGCTCACTTTTAAATGAATTTTAAATTGTTCATAATAATTCCGAGCCAGATAATTAATAATGAATCATTGAATAAGTGCTTAGGATTAAAAAATACCAATAGGTATATAATGAGTAGGTACTTTAATTCAGTCAACAGCCACGTCACACATTAGGAACACAAGGAGTGGACGGAATAGGTATATTCTAAAAATCTTACAAATTAGTGTATATGAGTCAAAACGCCAAACACGAACGAACGTTTTTACGGGTCTCCATAAAAACGCTTAGGAAAACAAACGACCAGGCAAAAAAAAAAAAATAGAGCACTTTTTTTGTCATATGAGACATGCAGTGTAATTAAAAAAAAAATCAATGGGAGGGTCCCTCTAAACGTTCCAGGCATTTTGACCCATACAGTAAAATATCACCTCCTCCGTTTTTTTTTACCCCTAAATAGGAAAAAATGTTGAAAATGTTACTTTTTATTTCCCCCCGTTATTGTTACCAGTACAGCTAATGTCATAAACGAATTTAAACTTGATCAGTGGTTGCTTCGTTTATCCAAGGCTAAAGAACACAGTTCATAAATACAAATAATAAAATATACCACAACTGAAAATACAAAGCAATAACGTGTGCACTGCCCAATGAACGCATTGCGCATGCATAATTACATCACTTAAAATTGTATTAGTCACTTTGTCACGGGTCAGAGTTATTTAAAACCGAAAGTCAGAGCCTAATAATGGTGGAATAGTCTTATGATAACGCAAAGGAACTAAGTACTCGAATATAATATTAAGGTAAATGCTAAATTTGTTTACACTTGTTCGACTATAACAGTCATAGACAACCCATTAAATAATAATTATTAATTATTACTAAACACTGATAAACATTATAATGGTGATCAGTTCATTAATGATTTTAGCGCTTCTTTTCGGAAACATTTTACTTTAGGGCTTTTTAAATTATATAACTGTTTAGTAACATATATATTCTATACAAGTTCTAAAACAAAAAGTGATTTACTGAACTTAACCAGTTTTGGATAATTTGTTTTAGGGTTATTAACATTTTAAAGTGAAGGCGGGAACAAAGTGCGACCTAATATTATTTTCAACCAGAGATGGGAAAATTATTTTTGAATGTTATTCGAATACATTTGTATAAAACAATTTTATTGGCATTTTAAAAGTTATTTTAAACAATAAGCTAAGAGTATCTTAAAATTGAAAAATAAATTATTCCCAAATAATTTAGACTCTTACGTTAAATAAAACTCTGTCTTTAGACATTTATTGGTTCCTTACACATTTATTATTGACCGTAATTGGTTCAATAGATTTAAACGTTTAAATTCAAGTGTTATAATGATCAACATAATGCGCATCGCGGCATGAATTTAGTTATTAAATTCAGTGATGTCTCACCTAACATAATGACTACATTTCAGAATGATTGGTAGAACATATTATAGAATACAGCCGACTCAACCATACACGGAAAAAAAAAAAAGTTAACAAAAACCGGTCAAATGCGAGTCGAGTTTCCTTCCTTACGTTTTATACTACCTACGGCGTAGGTCCCACGCTATGAGTGAAATGGTTTACCACTCTAGTCTGGCTGACAATGTTAAATTGGTTACTTGAAAGTTTCGAGTCCTTCGTGTCGTACAATCTACGTGCAATGGCCTGGACTGAAATTAGGATTGTCTCAAACAGATTCGCAACAACCTTGACACGGTTCGCCTGATACACGACCGTTTGCGCATTTTAGGATCATGGACCATCAACAATGTAAGTGCTCGTCACCGTATGTAACGCGATAAAAGTATCACAGGTATTAACGAGGGAATCCACAAATTGAAAGAGATTGATAAATTTATACTACTGAAGACTTGGCGGCGTTCCAAAAAATTATGAGCACAACAATTGCTTTAGACCAGGCATTAGACGTTGGTACACTATAAGTTACCACAAGCCGTCCGCACATTCTCAGACACCGCACGAGATATAATTTTTTAGTTTATACAAATCAATGCGGTGCGAGGAACGTCATCAAGGGACATCATATTTTATAGATAATTCGCACATTCTTATTAAAAAAACAACATAACCGTATGTGTAGAATAATTAACTTTTATAACTATAAGCAAGTCATTACGACGGTTTGCTAATAACAGTCAAACATTATCGTTTTAATTCGATACGTTTATTTAAAAGGCAAAATTGCAAAGCATTCAAATTAAAATTATCAATGTTAATGATTAAGAATATTGCTGTTCATAATTATTGTTCCTTACTTGTTACGTTTACGCTATTATACAATATTATAT